TTAGAGGCATCTGTCAGGAACAACATAAAGAAGAAAATGGCCAAACACAATCTGTTACCTGGGATGTACACTAAAAGGTGAAAGCACGTGAGACAGTGGAAGAGAGGAAGTTATGGAAAATAGCACTTTAGGGCACAGCAAATCATATGTATTTGGTAGCAAAATGTATACATACCCTGACTGAGAAATACATTGCAATGATCAACTTGGTTAATTAAGAATCAAGGAATTGGTCATCAGTAGAAAATATAGATAAAGCCCATCTCCTTATTGCACAATTGAGGGAGAGAAGCAAGGGCAAAATACAAATAAATCATGAACAGTTCAACGGTTTTGCCCGAACTAAGTCATAAAGCTGAACAGCAGGCAGGAGTCCCGTTGTTAATGCTGCTGTTTGCCATTACCCATTTCTCAAGAGCCTTGTCTCAGTTACCTTCACTGGATCACTGTTCAGAGTCTTATTATCCAGCAAGAGAAACTCTGTCAGAGTTTGAATGGTACTAAAACTGAGAGGTCATTTCTAAATCTGAGCCAACCTTAGCTTCAAGTTAATTCCCTCCTTTACAGTTTATCATAGAATCCTTAGAGTTGGAAGGGACCTTTAAAGGTCACCTAGTCCAACTCCCCTGCAATGAACAGGGATATCCACAGCTAGATCAAGTTGCCCAGGGCCTGATCTAGCCTTGCCTTGAAAGTCTTCTGGGGTGGAGCATCAACCACAGAATCACACAGAATCACACAGAATCACAGAATCACCCGGGTTGGAAGGGACCCCAAGGATCATGTAGTTCCAACCCCCCTGCCTAGCAGGGCCACCAAACATACACATTCAGATCAGGTTGCCCAGGACCCCGTCCAACCTGGCCTTAAACACGTCCAAGGACGGGGCATCCACAACCTCCCTGGGCAGCCCGTTCCAGGGCCTAACCACTCTCCTAGTAAAGAACTTCCCCCTAACATCCAACCTAAATCTTCCCTCCTTCAACTTAAAACCATTTCCCCTAGTCCTGCTGTTATCAGCCCTTTTGAAGAGTTTACTCCCCTCCTGGGTGTAGATTCCCTTCAGGTATTGATAGGCTGCAATGAGGTCACCCCGCAGCCTTCTCTTCTCCAGGCTGAACAAGCCCAACTCCCTCAGCCTGTCCTCATAGGGGAGGTGCTCCAGCCCCCTGATCATCTTAGTCGCCCTCCTCTGGACCCTTTCCAAAATCTCTATGTCTCTCTTGTACTGAGGGCTCCACACCTGGACACAGTACTCCAGATGGGGCCTCACAAGAGCCGAGTAGAGAGGGACAATCACCTCCCTGTCCCTGCTGGCCACCCCTCTCCTGATGGAGCCCAGGATCCCATTTGCCTTTCGAGCTGCCAGAGCACACTGCTGGCTCATATTCAGTCTCTCGTCCATCAGGACCCCCAGGTCCTTCTCTGCCGAGCTGCTCTCAAGGACCACTCCTCCCAGCACATCGCTGGGCAGCCTATACCAGGGCCTCACCACCCTCACTGTGAAATGCTTCTTCCTTATGTCCAACCTAAAATGACCCTCTTTGAGCTTGAAACCATTTCTCCTTGTTTTGTCACCACAGACCCCACTAAAGAGTCTATCCCCTTCTTTCCTGTAGCTCCCCTTTAGATATTGAAAGGCTGCTATCAGGTCACCTCGGCACCTTCTGTTCTCCAGGCTGAACAGCTCCAATTCTTTCAGCCTGTACTCATAGGAGAGATTTTCCATTCTGTGAATCATTTCTGTGGGCCTTCTCTGGACACACTCCAACAGGTCTGTGTCCCCCCTGTACTGAGGACTTCATAACTGGATGCAGTACTCCAGGTGAGGCCTCACCAGCACAGAATAGAGAGGCAGAATAACCTCTCTCAACCTACTGGCCACATTTCTTTTGGTGCAGCCCAGCATACAGTTGGCTTTCTGGGCTGCAAGAACACACTGCTGGCTCATGTCCAGCTTCCCATCCACCAGTACCACTCCATTTTTTTTTTTGGCAGGGCTATACTCCTTTCATCTCCCAGCTTGTATTGTTAGTGGGGGTTGCCTTGACCTAGATGCAAGATCAGATTTACCTCTAACCCTTTTCTTCACAAGAAAACAGCTTGTGTTGCAGGTTACTGAGGCGTAATCGGATGTTTAAAAAACAAATAGACAAAAAACAACCCAATATGTACGTATCAGAACTGTAGGTTTGCTCCTTTTCTGCTTTCCTTTCACTTCCTTGTCTTTTATATGAAATTGTAAAACACATCTCTGGAATCTTTCATTCCCTAGTTTCTTTAATTTCAATTTAACTGAATACAGTGTTTTAAGGAAAGCCAATATTCTCTCTCTTTGCTCATTTTATGAGCATCACACATTTTTTTGTACTTTCCATTGAGCAAGTAATTATGAATCTGATGTATAACCCTTCAAGAGCTAATAAAACTCAGAGAGGAACATAGAAATACCATTAAGAATTCCACCTTGCTGCCATCACATGTGATGACAAAGAAACTTTCGCTAATTTGCCAAATTTATGAACACAGCTGCAACACCATGCAAAAAATTATGCACACATTAAATTGTCCACATTATAGACATCACAGCATACTCAAACATGTACGTGCCACAAATAAGTTTCTTTTTAAAACACTACAAAAAATTGTCTCTTCCAGAATTGAAGTGATCCTACAATGTAGAACACAGAAATCCTTCGATATTAATACACAAGTTGAAGATAAATTGCAATTTCAGTATTCTATAGCTGAGACACACTAGATTAGTCCAGATCAACTTAACCACAAAACTCTTCTAAAGCTGAGATTCTGCTGAATGTGTTTATTCTCTACATGAAAAATATTAGGCGCATGTTTGGTTTGCTCAGTTGTCTTCTAAATCATCACTTCCTTAGAAAACTGAACTAATCAGGCATGGTTTCTTGTAGCTATTCTCTTGTTTAAGTTTTTCACAAAGCTGAGACATTAATAATACTTTTATCTATCTACCTATGAATATTCTAATTTTTAACACAAAGTGAGATCAAGCCACAGTCCTTTTCCCCTGAGAGAATTAGGATAGTGCACTCCTCCATCAGTTATTTTCACTAGCCATGTTGGACTTGAATATATTTTTTTCTTTTTAAAAATCTTTTGTTCCCTCCATCAAATTTGGCTAAAAAATCAATATGAAAATTAACTGAAAAAATATAGGAGACAAACACACATTGATGTATGATGCCCAAAGCCGTATTTTCACATGGAGAGGCTGAAAAATACTACACCTACGAAGAGCCAGAATGTGAAACACCTGCATGGAAAGGAAATGATGTCTGGAATATAAAGGTTCCTTTGGGGTACAACTGCATATACTTAATACTAGGCCAGAATATAAGACCAATGCCAATTCTATTAAACCATATACCTTCTAAAGAAAATGCAGGACTACTTTAACCAAGACAAATACAGAGGATACTGAGATATTCTCTGAATGTGACTTCTTTTCCCTTTAAAAAAAAAAAAACATCTCTGAAGCAATAGCCGAATGTTTTGTTTCTTTACAGGAGGGAATTACTACAGCAAGTAATAGGAGAAGAAAACATATTCGAGGGATTTTTACTGTCTATAATTGGCTGGCAATTAGGTCAGAGGTATTTTACCATAAAACAACTGAAGAAAGGAGCAGAAATGGGATGCTCAGTTTGGGGACCTATAGCCATCCTACCTTTTCTTACAAATGGATAATAGTGCTAGAATCTAGCTCAGCAATCTTGTCATTACTTTCTTAGAAAGCAATTATTTCACTAAAATAATGATTAATTTTATTTTTTTTAATTTAATTAATAATTATTAAAGTGTATTCTTTTGCACACACAGCATCAAAACACTAAAAAAGAATCACTGAATATGAAGTAATATCACTCGCAGTGAAAACTTCCCTATGCACTTTACGATTGAATAGAAGAGATGAAATTATCCCTTTGGAATAATTTATTAGTGTTTGAGAATAATGGAATATTCATACAAAACTAGTAAATTGCCTTGTGTCTATCAGTACATTTTTCTATCTTCTATTCCAGATCAGTTATGTATAATCTAGAAAGGAAGAACTGGAAGTTGCTTATACTTAATACTTGGAAGCAACAAGATGATCATCACTTGATCATAGACAACAAAGTGTGAACAAGATGAACACGGCTACAACTGGAATTGTTTCCCTATGTTTCTTCTGCTTTTTGTAACTATCCCCATCACCAAGTCTCAACTATATTATGCCCTGTCCACATCATGTACAGAAGCCCGTTTTTCGCTAGGGATGAGTTTAATCTTTTAACATGGTGACGTGGCTGTGTATTCCCAAGACTGAGATAACACATGAGACAGTGATTCAAGAGCCACTTGTTCAGTATTCCTGGTGGACTTGGGGTGATGACTTTCCAAGAGGTACTGAATTGCTGCACTATATTTTGACCTAAAGTCAACTGAGAGTTGTCAGCTTTGTCTAGATTTTGTGTCAACCACTATTTATGTGCAAACCTAAAAGAGAGTGAAAATCGGGTGATGAAAAATTGAGGCAAGAATAAGGTTCATTCAAGTATTTGCAACTTAGTCTCCCACATTCTTTACAGTTCAGCTGTGTACCTATATAGCCTGCATCTTGGGGGTGGCTAAATCCACCTCTCCTTCTTGCAAAGTGCATTCAAAACTTTTCTCTCTTAATTACTGAGAATATCACAAGTAGCAAAACCAAGTTTGTTGTTGAGTTTTTTGTTTTTGTTTTTTACTCTCTGCAGAACCAAGATTCACTTAGAGACCTCCATAATAGCAAAAGCTATGTGTATCATACCATACAGTTATAAAAGACCAACCCTGTGTTTTCCAAAAGACAGAACATTCACCACTAGGCTGGTCAGTTTAATATTGAGACGATGCTACAAAGTCCGATATAGTAACCACCTATGGTTAAATGTTATTTTGTAAATATGGGTAGACAGAAAGAGAAAAACAGAAAAAGCATGTACCTGTTGGATAGTGTTCATTCACTGGCCAGCTGTCAACTTGAAGCGTAGCATTGCCGCCATTCCTGGTAAAGCGCACCACATGGTATTTGCCATCATTCACAGGTGTGCTTTCCTCTTTAATAGAGATATCCACTGTGCCAATATTGAAGACTACGCCAATCTTGCCCTGCTCCTGAAAGAAAAAAAGAAAAAAAAGCTTGCAAATTGCTTGCTATTAGGAGAATGTTCTGGCCCTGTAAATCTCTACTGGGTTATTGTGCCGGTAGATGGCACTGAAGAATACACAGAAGCATCATTTTGAATTTAGTCAAGATACGCTTCATTGGCTCTGCTTCAAGGCTGACATTGTCTTCCACACTCTTCCTTATAGCTTTCACGTGAACATAGCAACTTGCTTGCTCTCTTAAGTATTACAAAGTACAGTTAAGAAATCAGGCAATAAAACTAAGGAGATGTGAACAGTTACTTGAACAACAATTCCACTGATTAGTAGTTTCTTGTTCAGTTGCCATCTGAAGTGCAGGCACATGCAGGCTGTACCCTAACTGTTCCACAAATGCAAAAATAGAACAGAATAAATAGCCTCCCTAAAACAAATAACGATGGGAATCAGCAGAGTGAATGTGTTTTCAAATATAATAGAATAAGAAATGAGCAAAAATGTACTAACCAGCTTTGGACATTTGAGGGAAGCTAATTGCTCCTAAACCAAATGGAAAATGCTACAGACCTTCAAAGGATTGGAGTGACTGCAGTCTTATTTTTCTATCTCACATGCTCCAAGCAATGACTTGCTCCCCCTAATGATCTCCCAAAACTTTCCAAATGCAGTTAACAAGAATACTTCTTCAAGCTTTCAGAAAGGAGATGTACAGTAAGCTGGCTTCAGGGTTTATGAAGGCATACTACTATGTCCACAGCATGGATTCAATTCTGATTCAGACAGAACTAAAATTTTTCACTCAGAAAACCATTACATTTGTTACCACCCATACTATAAAACCGGCATTAGCCTTATTAGCTGTTTCAATGGAGAAATCAGAAAAGAAACAAAACGAGATAGTGGAAGGCCATCTCACAACCTCTTTGAAATAGAACTGTGGTGTACATCAGACCATCAGACTTTCTTCTTTTTCCTTTTTTCTTTTTTTTTTTTTTCCCTAACAGTCTACCTTACCTTCTTCTTTGAACTGCAATCATAGAATCACAGAATCTCAAGGTTGGAAACGACCTGCAAGGTCATCTAATCCAACCACTCTCCCATTCCTATCAGTGCCACAAGCTACTAAACCATCTCTCGTAGCTCCTCATCCAGGCGCCTCTTGAACACTGCCAGGGACGGCGACTCCATCACCTCCCGGGGCAGCCATTCCAGTGCCTGACCACCCTCTGAGAGAAAAAGTTTCTCCTAATGTTCAGCCTAAACCTCCTCTGGTACAACTTCTGGCCGTTTCCTCGGGTGCTACTATTTGCCTGGGAGAAGAGGACAGACCCTTTTTCATCACAACCTCCCTTCAGGAAGTTGTAAAGCGCAATGAGGTCTCCCCTGAGTCTCCTCTTCTCCAGACTGAACAATCCCAGCTCCCTCAGCCACTCCTCATAAGACTTGTGCAATATCAATACTGCAATATCAGTTGAAAAGGAAAACAAACAGTCCTATAACTAAAGAGATCATTAAAAAAACGGGACTGTGCCTGGATTACTTTAAATTTAGCACTGTAACAGCATATAAAGCATTCTCCCTCTTCTCCGAACAGTAAATTTTAGACTCTACTGCATTTATACTGGACAGCAAGAGTCCTACATTCATTCACACTACGATGTTTTGGACTGACTTCATTATAAGATATAAATAATCTGTTTTTTAATGGTGATAAGGGTAAGTTGATTGCAACATTTTATTGCAACTGAGAAATGCAGAAAATTGTGTAAAACACATCACAGCCCTAACTGAAAACCTCCTCCAGCTCTATACAGTCTCTCCTCCAGCAATGTTCCTCATGACTTTCTGAGTTTTGCAGAAGCATGACTTTACCAGATTTTGATACTCATACTTGGACTGACCTGGATCTTGTCATGAAAATGGTTCTGTTCCAATTACCAACATAGAACACAACATAATGCAATTCTCTGAAAGCAGAGCTATTGAAACCAAACTGCAAAGAAAGACTTGAAGGTATACAAGTCATAGTTTATTAGTTTATTCATGTTTTGTTGTTGTTGTTTTGGTTTTAGTATCTCTAGGGCACAAGATTATCCCTGGAAAAAAAATCCAACTGTTAGTTTACTCATTACTGGTACAAAAACAGTAAAACAAACTAGAAAGAAAAACCTACAGCAAAATACAATGACCATGGATACAGGTCAAATACAGGATTTATTTTCAAGATTTCTTCATCTCCAGTTTCCTCTATTACAACAGCTAATTAAAAGCAGCTTTAATGAATATCTTCCCTTTAAATTTGAAAGATAAACTTTATCACTAGCATTGAACATTTCATTATGGACTTGGCCTCTATCACTCCATTCCCCATATAGCTAGCACATTTTCTTTCTATGTTACCAAACATGGATATTAACTAGACCTGCAAGTATACGATGAAGAAAGATGTATTTCAAAGCCACTATGTTTATTTTGTACTTAAATAAATATCTTGCCAAAGTGAGGAAAAATCAAAATACATAACCACAGAGCTGCAAGTTATATGCTCCAGAAGAACTCCAGAGAATTATAGTAGACTAGGCATTCCTTGCTATCAGCACTCGTTGATCTGCTCCAAACTTCTTATATGAAAAGGTGATCGCACATCCCTTGATATTGCTGCCCTCAAAAGCCACACTGCTTTCTCCTCACTTTCAAATTTTTTGGAGATAAAGTTCTGTCAGGAGGTTTCTAAGACATCAGGCAAGTAATTATCATTACTTAATGAATGATTGTAGATAAATTACATGTATAGAAATACTAAAAAGAATGTATAAAGCCTCACTTTGTCCTCTCTGTTCTACACTACCATCCCCTTCAGGCCCTGGCAGCAATTCCTTATTATATGCATTGCTCCAAAAACACTATGAATGTTATTAAATGACACGGGCTAATCTAGGTCCAAGGATCAGGAGATACGGAATCTTACCCTTAAGCATTATTTTCCTTTGGGCAACATTTTATTTTACCTTCTCATAAAATAGATTCTTCATCAGTAAAAGAGGAGTGACAGATATTTATCTTTCCAAGATCTACAAGCCCTGTAATCCAGACATATTTTTACCTAAACTCTGATAGCATTTTAATAATCCAACAAACAATTACATATTGAAATTGGAAGGAGCTGACAGTGGCCTCTTAAAAGACCAATGACAATATTTGCCCCTCAGTTTCATGACAGAAAGCAATCTAACTGAAACAATGCTCTGAAGGAGAAGGAAATTATCATTTTAGTACAGAGCATCACAGTGCACAAGCTGGAGATGGAGATTGTGAAATTCCAGCCATACACCAACAGCTGCACACATTGCTTACTTTCAGAAGGGCTCTAACTTTTGGTCCTCACCTTTCAGCCATCTTTTTCTTAATCTAAAAGTCAAATCATCCAGACTGAAAGCAGACAGCTGTTCCCTGCGCGCAGAAAACATTTTCTCAAAAACAAAGAGAATACCAGGCAATAAAACAAATCCTATGCTGAGCTGCATCTATATGAATAAATAGCAATTCTGTGGAAGAAACTCAGGACCCCTACTGATGCAAGAAAAAAGAAAAATAACTTTATTGAGGTGAAAGAAGATATACATTTCAGCTAATTTTGGCAGATTTTTGAGAGATATTATAAGCAGTAGGTCAACTATTGTTTTATACCTTCTTTTTTTACTGCTCCAAGATGTCAAACTAGATTCTCTAAATCCTCATTACAAAACTATCAAAAAAAAAAAAACAACCCAATACATATACAGAACAAATAAATAGAAATTATTACTGTTAGGGGTCATGGTTTTTAAAAGAAGCAATTCTCACAGATACATAATTTATAAGGCTAAAAAGGACAAATGTTTTAATCTAGTCTGCTCTAAAATTTTATATGAGACTGTATATCATGTCAGAATTGATCTTTTTTTGAACTATGGAATATATTCTAGAACAACATGCGATTGTGATCTGAATATTAACAGCTGAGGGAACAGTGGGTCTTTTCAGTTACTTTTTTGATAATATTGGCCCAGTTTTGAACACAGTCAAACAGGCAAGAGAAATGTCACGAATTATAAAGAAATGGAATAGTATATAAAAGGAAAATCTCTGTTATAAGTAAATGGTCTACCTTTGACTTGAATTTTTGAACACAGTAAACAGAACTTTGTAAGCTCCCTCAGTAACAGAAGAAACACAGAAGATTCTAAAAAATATCAAATTTGATACTGTATATATAAAAACAAAACCATTGCTATTATTTTAATAACTGGAAGAACTACAAATATTTACTAAAATCATTCAGTAACAAAATTTATTCAAAAGTAGTACAGAACTGAATCATGCAATTCACTATCACAATATGTATTGGATGTTTAAGATACATTCAGAAATACACAAATTCATGGGAGGAAAGTCAGTCATGAACTATTGGACACAACAGTGCGAACATAATATCCTGCTCAGTTGATCCTTAAAAGCAGATCATTTTATTTTAATTTTTACCACCTATACTGAAAAGCATCTAGCTTCTATAAATGGCTTGTTAGACTGTGATCAAGTAAAATTTTTTTTGAACACTATTACCAGTTCTTAGGCATTTCATAAAGAGGTAAAATGCTGAAATTAGCAAAGTTTAATGATAATCTAATCTAATTTTTCTACTGAAAGTTTTGAATTGTGGCTTCAGTAAACATCTGCCAAGGTCAGGCTTGTATATATAGTTCTGCCTTAAAGCAAGACAGTACTAGAGCAGATGATTTAAAGTTCCAGCTTCATCTTTCTGGGATTGCATACTCCCGCCAAACCCATATAATTTGCTACTTGTCAGGAACTTTATACATCACTACAGGTTTTTTGGTAACTGGTACACAATATAAATAAAATTAAGCACAGGAATTTATTTGAAAGCTGATATCATTAACAAACCCTGAGACCTTTTGAGATTTTAACTCACAGAAGCAATCTAGTCAGTACATGGCTGAAATGATTTA